ACCTCCCCCAGCTACTCACCCACTTCCCCCAGCTACTCCCCCACCTCCCCCAGCTACTCACCCACCTCCCCCAGCTACTCACCCACCAGCCCGAACTATTCTCCAACAAGTCCCAACTACACCCCAACATCACCCAGCTATAGCCCTACGTCTCCCAGCTATTCACCCACTAGTCCCAACTACACGCCGACCAGCCCCAACTACAGCCCAACCTCTCCGAGCTACTCTCCAACTTCACCCAGCTACTCCCCGACCTCACCCAGCTACTCCCCTTCCAGCCCACGATACACACCACAGTCTCCCACCTACACCCCAAGCTCCCCCAGCTACAGCCCCAGCTCTCCCAGCTACAGCCCCACCTCACCCAAGTACACCCCAACCAGTCCATCCTACAGCCCCAGCTCACCAGAGTATACCCCAACCTCTCCCAAGTACTCCCCTACCAGCCCCAAGTATTCACCCACCTCTCCCAAGTACTCGCCTACCAGCCCCACCTATTCACCCACCACTCCGAAGTACTCCCCAACGTCTCCTACTTACTCACCCACCTCTCCAGTCTACACCCCAACCTCCCCCAAGTATTCGCCTACTAGCCCTACCTACTCACCCACCTCCCCCAAGTACTCGCCCACCAGCCCCACCTACTCACCCACCTCCCCCAAAGGTTCAACCTACTCTCCCACTTCCCCTGGCTACTCACCCACCAGCCCCACCTACAGTCTCACCAGCCCAGCCATCAGCCCAGACGACAGTGATGAGGAGAACTGAGGGCGAGCAGGACACAGCAGCAGCCGCCAGCTGGGCCAGGGCAGCCCTGGTGGTACTCTGCAGGCCTCTCGCCTCCCTCGTGGGGCGACCCCAGCCCAGCTCCTTGTACATAACTCCTTGCACAGTTTCCTGGTGAAGTTCTGGATCCCGTTCCCGACGGGGCTTTTTGTCTTGTTCTCTACTAGTGCCACCTCAGAACCCCCAGCCTAGCTGTGGTTCTTTCTGCCCCAGCCGCCCCATTCCTGTCTCCACGTTACAGACCCTTGCCTGTGGCTCAACTGGGGGTAAAGGGTATTTTAACTTCTTAGGGTAGTTCCTGCTCTGGATCGTTACACCTGGTCCTCGTTACGTCAGATCCTCGAGAAGAACAAAGCTAAAGCTGCCTTTTGTGTCTGTTATTTTATTTTTTTGAAGTTTGAATAAAGTTTACTAACTTTGACCAAAATTATTGGTGTATGAGTGCTTAACTGGGATTGAAGGAGGCCAGAACTCTGGGTCTCTGCCCCCACCTGTGTTAGCTGATCCTGCAAAGGGCAAGGAGGCAGGAGGGTGAGCTCCCTGCACACGCGCCCAGTGCCTGCATCCCAGGCCTTGCTCTGCAGAGCTCCTCGTGGCCAGGCACGGCAGCCCCTGACTACATTAAGCTGATACTGAACAGCAGCTCTTCAGTCTGCCTTACTGATTGTCATAGTAAGTCATTTGGAAAAGCATAGGAAGTTGTAATACCAAAGGCGAAAAGTGGTCACCCTTAATCCTGCCACTAGGAGGCATATTTTCTTTTGGTATTTTTTTTTTCCTGAAGCATTTCTTGAGTCACTTCTAACGAATGAACAAAAACGTGCATTTTCATTTTGGCCTCAAACCAACGAAAGATTACGGGTAGTGTAATTTTTTTTTTTTAAGAGATATTTTGCTGAAGGGCGTGTACACTCCCGGGAGAGACAGAAAGTGAGAAATCACGACCCAGGGGGAATGGCCACGCCACAATCCCTTCTCCATTCTCCCAGGATCTTGGGCACGCACACGCACTCGGTGTGAGTTTAAGGCACCGGTTCTGGGACTTGAACCTCAGTCAACTACATGGGTGCCCAGTGATATAGCCATCACACCAGCTGCGGGTCCCAGTTACACTGTTCTTAAAAAAATGTAAAGTTTGGGGCCTGGGCCAAGGGCCAGCCAGTGATGTGACTGAAGTGACTGGACCCCACGTGGCCAACTGCATGGTTTGAGTCCAGACCCAGTGACAAGAAACATGCCGGGGACATGTTCAAAGTCCTAAAAGGGGGAACAGCAGTTGGCGTAGCGGCTTTGTCGCTCCAATCCACCTCTCATTTACTAGGATCACTTTAATTCAAAACATAACAAGTGTCAAGAATGTAGGTAGTGGGACCATCGTAGTACAGGTTAGGGTTGTAAATCAGTGGAGACACTTCGGAATACAGTCTGGCAGCTCCTCAAAAGTTAGTTGCCAGATGGACCAGTAATTCTACTCCGTTAAATTCCCAAGAGGAAAATCTATGTCCACAGAATAACTCGGATATGAATATTCATAGTATTTTCAAAATAGTCAAAAATTGGGACCAGCAGTTAGCGTAATGGCTATGCCACTGAACTCTCATGTAGCTGACCGTGGTTCGAGTCCCAGACCCGGTGGCTTAAACTCACGCCGGGCACGTGTGCGTGTGTGCCCAAGATCCCAAGAGGAGAATGGAGGAGAAGGGACTGCGGTGTAGCCATCCTTCCTGGGGGGTGATTTCTCGCTTTCTGTCTTTCTGTCTCTGTCTTTCTGGTGAGCGTACATGCCCTATAGCAGAAACCTCTCAAAAAATAAGTCAAAAATTGTAACAATCCAAATGCCAATCAACTGATGAATGGATAGCAAAAGGTGATACAGTAGAAAATTTGACAATAAAAAGAATGAAGTATTTTATTTATTTAAATTTGACCAGAGAGGGACAGAGTGTGAAAGAGAAAGAGGGAAAGTGAGAAAGCAAGCCACCAGGTCTGGGATTTGAACATGGTTGGCCATGTGGGAATCCAGCATCCTCAACCACCACACTACCCACCAGCCCAAGAATAAAGTATTGATACATGCTACAAAATGGATGAATCTTGAAACCATACAAGCGAAAGAGGCTAATGAGAAAAGACTCCAGGTTCTGATTCCACGCACGCGAAATGGCCAGAACAGCCACAGGTTAGTAACGGCCCGGCACAGGGCTGGGGCGTTGGAGGGACTGGGGAGTGGCCGCGGACGTATGTGGGCTTGCTTTCTGGGATGGTTGCATTACTCTAAAGCTTACTGTGGTAGTTACACAACTCTCATTATGTTTAAAAAAAAAAAAAAACTATAAAGGTTGACTTACGTGACGTACAAATTATTCCTGAATAAAGCTGTTATCCAAAAACAAGAGTGGGTGGGCCTGGCAGGGGGTGTGGTGGTGTCGGCGTTGGACTTCCTCCCACATGGCCAACAGTGGCTTAAGTCCTGGACCTGACAGCTTGCTTTCTCCCTTTTCCAGTCTCTCTGCTGAGCATACGTGGCCTGGAGCAAATTCTAAGTAAATAAATACTTTTTTTTTTTTTTTTTTTGCTATAGGGCGCATGCACGCCAGACAGACAGAGAGAGACAGAGAGACAGAAAGCGAGAAATCACCCCCCCAGAGGGGATATGGCCACACCACAATCCCTTCTCCTCCATTCTCCTCTTGGGATCTTGGGCACGCATGCACACACGCCCGGCATGAGTTTTAAGCCACCGGGTTCGGGACTCAAACCGGGATCAACTATATGGGAGTCCAACGACACAGCCATTACACTAACTGCTGGTTCCAATAAATACATTCTTTAACAAAGAGAAAGAAGCAGGGGCTGGATGGTAGTGCGGCAGTTAAACACAATGACACTCGCAAGGCCTTTATGGGGAGGGAATTCTGGGTTTGTATCCAGAGAACTCCCTGAGGATGTGGGGGGTATGCACATGCCCAGGATGCAGGGCTGGCTGAGTCTGGGAGGGGGGGATTGTGGCTTTGGACCCTGGTGGAAGTGCTGTCTCTCTCATGAAAGAAATAAATTAAAAACAAAGAGAAAAATATTCCTATCATCAGAGGAACACAAACTGAGAATGGTTAGCATCAATATGGCCCAGTAAGGAAAGTTTGGGATATGTTTAGAGCAAAAGAAAAATGACCCCAGGTATAAGATGTGAGCTTTGAGAAGGAAAGTGAGCCAAGATACTGATTAAAACGGAAGGAAATACAAACAAATGTTGATAGTAATGCTATAGTAATAATACTAATTCATGATACTCACAATAGGACAGAACTAAGGTACTGAAAAACAGCTGCATTTAAATTGGAAAAGAGGATTAAGAGTTAAAGAATTGGGGCCAGCAGGTGGCATGGTGGTTAAGGCCCTGGACTCCCACATGGCCAGTGGTGATTTGAGTCTTAGACCTGGTGGCTTGAAAATGACGCCAGGCACAATGAGCATGTTTGCCCAAAATCCCAGGAGGAGAATGGAGGTGAAGGGATTGTGGTGTGGCCATCCCCCCATGAGGTGATTTCTCACTTTCCCTCTCATGCTCTCTGTCTCTCTGGAGAGCACATGTACCCTATGGCAAAAGCCTTAAAAAAAAAATAAAAAAAGAAAAGAAAAGAAAAAAGAAATGAATTATAGGAACCAGCCCTTATCTGGTTAAGGGGGCCCCAGCAGCTTGAAAATCATGTTGGGCTCATGCGTGCGTGTTCGCACGTGCCCCAAATCCTGTTGAGATGGAGAAATGGACAGAGAATTGCAACGTGACTACTCTCCACTAGGGAGTGCCTTCTCTCTCCCTCTGTGCATTTCATCATCTCAGAGGAGCACATGCACCCTCTGGCAATTAAAAAACGGGGAGGTCATGGGAACCAGCAGTTAGTGTAATGGCTATGTCGCTGGACTCCCACGTAGTCGACCGCGGTTCGCATCCCAGACCTGGTGACTTAAAACTCACGCCGGGCACGTGTGCGTGTGTGCTCAAGATCCCGAGAGGAGAATGGAGGAGAAGGGATTGTGGTGTGACCATCTACCCTGGGGGGTGATTTCTCGCTTTCTGTCTCTCTGTCTCTCTCTGTCTTTCTGGTGAGCGCACGCGCCCTATAGCAAAAAGCTCTCCAAAAAAAAAAGGGGGGGGGGAGGTCTGACAGGAGATGTTTTTAAAAAAATTATTTACTTAATTTTATTTATTACTTTTCTTCAATTTGACTGGAGAGAGAGAGGGAGAGAGAGGGAGAGTGAGAGAAAGTCAGCCAAGCCAGTCTAGGACTTGAACTGTGGTCAACCATGTGGAAGTCCTGTGCCCCAATCACATGGCACCTGCTGGCCCCAATAAAATAATTCCCCCAAAAAAGAAAGAATTGGGGTCAGCAGGTGGCGAGGTGGTTAAAGTGCCGGATCCCACATGGATGATTTTGTGGTCAGAGTCCTGGACCTGACAGTTTGAAAACCATGCCAGGTGTGTGTGCTGAAAATCCTGAGAGGAGAAGGAAGGAGAGGACGTTGCGGCATGGCCATCCTCTCCGGGGGTGATTTTTCACTTTCCTCCTCTCTGTCTCTGTCTCTGGCAAGTATATGAGCCTTATGGCACAAATCTAAAACTGAATAAATACATAAAATAAAAAGAATGTCATAAGATTCTTATCCTATTCACAAGAGGTTAACTATAGTCCCTAATTTTAGACTTTAAGTTATGTAAGTTAAAATAGTCCAGGTATGGGGACCAGCAGAGGGCATAGTGGTCACAACGCCGGACTCCCACATGGTCAACTATGGCTCCAGTTCTGGATCCTATGGCTTCAAACTCATGCCGGGCCCTGTGCGTGCATACCCAAGCTCCCAGGAGCAGAACAGAGGAAAAGGAATTGCGGTCTGGCCATCCTCCTCAGGTGGTGATTTCTTGTTTTCTGTCTTGCTGTCTCTGTCTCTCCAGCGAGCACACTCTATAGCAAAAATCTCTTTTAGAAAAAGCTCAGAGATGGGCCACCCCTGTAGCACAGAGGTGCTGGATCCCACAAAGCTGACTGCCAGGTGGATTCTGGTTTAAATCCCAGCCCCAGCAACTTGAAAATGCTTCTTGAGCATCTCTATTAGGTCTGTAAACATCTCAGCCAGTTTAGGCTAGGTTATTTTATAGCAGCAAACAACCCAAAAGCCTCAGTGGCTGAAAACAACAAACATTTTTTTCCACTGCCCTGTCGTGTGGGCCCGTGTTCCCTGTCATCGTCCGTCCTCTGGTGTGGGAAGCTGTACACCAGCAAGTCTGCCGAGATTTCTCAGAGAGCAAACAATTACCATGATTGGTTCCCTTCCAAAAACCTGACCTTCGAAACCTTGCTCTGATTGGCCACTAGAATCCCTCACATTTGCATATCCGGCACCTCATGATTGGTCCAAAAGCAACCAATC